AAAAAGAATAATTCGAGAGGATAGAATCCAGGTAGTACTCCAGGGCAGGGTTGGGATATAATAATAACATTCAAATGTTTGAAGTCATCTCAAGAATTCGCATGGGATGAACTTGACAGAAGATTGAAACCTTTTCATCCCCAAAATAAAAAAGAGTCATTGAAAAAATAATGGAATCAATTATCAAATTTATACTTTGAGAAACATTTGAAACAAATGCGAAAATCTTTTGCTGCAGCAATCAAGCCTAAAAGAGGATATTTTGACGAGAGCAAAATTTAGTCATAAAATGCCTTTTTTTTGTCATAATAAAATTTCTTATAAAAAATCATGTCTCCCTTTTTTTAACCACCATGTATAATAAATTTCTCTCATTTAAAGTATAAAACAACTACTTTTTGGCCCAATTTAAAAAATTACCAGGGGTGTCATCGAACATTTGAACTATATTGTATTTATATATCTATCATCTATGTAAACATTCACAGACTGTCATCACTGTCTTGTCTGTATATTGCTTAATATGTTGTAATTGACATCTGATATATAAGCCGAAAGCTTAGATTGTATTAAAAAATATGGATCAATACTGTGAATTTCTTTCTTCGTTCAATTATAATGTTATTAAACTTATTAGACGTTATGAAAAGAGTTTACATAAAATAAATAGACAACACTTGTCTATATTATTTAACGAAACGTGTATGAATGAAAAGATGCTGCCTAAATACACACACATATATATATATATATATATATATATATATATATATATATATATATATATATATATATATATATGATTTATAGATTTAATGTAACTAAAATATATATATGTAAAAGGACAATATGAAGAAAGACGAAAGGAAAATATATCTTAGCGGACGCATTTCGTCCTCTGTTGTACTTTACCAAAGCAAGGGTAAAGATTTTATTTTGCAAACAAATATGCATTTGCCTTGATAAAGTCCATCAGAGGACGAAACGCATCCGATGAAATAAGTTTTCCTTTTTCTTTTTCATACATGCATATATAAATACATACATATATATATATATATATATATATATATATATATATATATATATATATATATATATATATAGTGCTATATAGTGCACATTGTTAATGCTAGCATGGCTTCTTAACTGAAAATTCATTAAACACTCTCTCAGCATAAATGTTCTAGAAAGAATGTTTATAAAGAAAATCTTTCCCTGTTTAATGATATCTGATTTGAAAATATTCAAATGAGTCAAAAAATGTCTTTCAAAGTCAGAAGTTGATATTCCGTATAAACTTTGTCTAACGGTTACATAATTTCAATTCAAGGAAATTATCACAATTACAATAGCTACATTATAGTTAAATTCCCAGATGAATTCTGTGGACAAGACAGATTGGTATCAAATGACAATTGGAAAAAAATCTTACATTTTTCCGACGCGTTTCGTCTTCCGACTTTTTCAAGGCAAAAATGAAATCGAAAAAGTCGGAAAACGAAACGCGTCGGCAAAATGTAAGATTTTTTTCCAATTGTCATTTGATACCAATCTTCATTATTTCATGTTTGTTATAAAATGTGTTTTTTTTTTTTGAAAGTATTTAACCGTCAGCTGGTTTTACTGCTATATATATATATATATATATATATATATATATATATATATATATATATATATATATATATATATAAAGGCTCAAACACTAATATTCCATGGTTATAATTTATTACATTGGATCCAATTCATCAGACCTACGTCTGATGAATTGGATCGTGATTACGATTCCAGTGTATTAAATTATAGCCATGGAATATTAGAGTATGAGCCTTTTATATTATATTCTTACTCTGTCCTGGACATTGAGTTCTACCTGGAGTCAATGGTCTTGGAATTTATATATATATATATATATATATATATATATATATTGACCACTAATATTATCTATCTATCTATCTATCTATCTATATATATATATATATATATATATATATATATATATATATATTGACCACTAATATTATCTATCTATCTATCTATCTATCTATCTATATATATATATATATATATATATATTTTGGGGCAGCAGTTCATTGTTCAAACATATATTGTTAAATATAACAGACAACGAATGTCTATTATGTTTGATCATGAGCCGTTCTATGCTTCATATAGTGGCTTTAGTTTCGGGAGAAAATAAAGACAAAAACTGTTCAACATTTGGATATTTTTTTATTGTGCTGTTTATTGATCTAAGCTTTCGGCTCACATGAACTATCATCAGAGTAATTATATGGACATTACAGCAGAGATATTCATAATCAAAGATAACATCCTGTTATGTTTACTTAGAAGATTGCTATGCGACGATAACGGTCGCTGAATAGCAGCCGCAGGACGTAAATTCGTAATGCCAGGATGTCATCTTCGATGGTGAACATCTCTGTTGTAATGTCCATGTAACCACTCTGACGATGGCTCATGTGAGCCGAAAGCTTAGATCGAAGAACAGCATAATAAAAAAATATCCAAATGTTGCACCGTTTTGTCTTTATTTTCTTCTGAAACTAAAACTAATATATATATATATATATATATATATATATATATATATGTGTGTGTGTGTGTTTATTTGTTTGTGTGTGTGTGTGTGTGTGTGTGTATCCAAAATTTTTAGGATTTCAAACTTGTTTATAGTAGACCCTCTTTATTTGAAATAGACGATTCCACTTTTTTTAATTTATTAAACAGTCTGTCGGGGCCTGTACATTGTTAAGTGGCCACCAGACGAAGACAAGGGGGGTACTGAATTTCAAACCATGAACCGTGAAGGCGACGGAAAATAACTCTTTCCTGAGAAGGCATGTCAATGCACAGCGAATTAAAAAAAAAAGTGAAAATGGTGTGTGTTGGTGGTGGTGGGAGGGGGGTGCGCTCAATGGAGAGCCATGATCGCCTAAGTCTCGAAGGGGTACAGAATTAAAAAAATTCTGTACTTGTTTTTTAGGATTTGAATGTGTTTCATTAAAATTGATAGGAGAGGAACTTTATGAAAACCACGTATTTGGGGAAGGTGACATACTTTATGTGTAAATACGTTATATATATATATATATATATATATATATATATATATATATATATATATATATCATCGGTCGCAGGTATTCGACTCTTGGTTTTTACGAATGTAGGTGATATGAAAAAATGGGAAAATGTTTATTAATATCCGTTCTAAATATTTTCTTCGTTACTTTCTTATTAGAACGGCATTTTTTTATTTTTTTTATTTTTTAAATCAAAATTATGTCCTCTTTCATTCCTGTGTGTTACGAAAGAGTTCAGTGAGTTTTCCGGGCGGAGTTCTCTCATATGTTTGTAGATGCGGGCCTTTAGCTTTCTGGACGTTTCGCCTATATAGATCTTCTGGCTTTGCATATATTTAATATCATAAATTCCAGCATCTGATGTGGTGTTGGTTATACCTCTAACTCGATCTCTGATTTGAGGTGGTGGTTATCATAGCACAAGAGCATACGCTGAACTCTATCGTTGGGCATAGAAATAAAACAGGCCATAAATTCGATTTAAAAAAACACCACCCTAATAAGAAAGCAACATGATTTACTACGAAGAAAATATTTAGAAGGGATATTATAAACACTTTCCCATCAACAAACACACGCCAAACATGCTTTTTAATATCACCAACTTTCATATAATACATGTATAAAGAATATATATATATATATATATATATATACGTTATTTTACAGATACAAATGCTCTGTTTATAATAAATAGTATTAACATTTACCGGCCTGAATGTCCGAGAAACTTCATAGAAAATATGTGTCCTCCGACAGGAATCGAACCTGTATCCTACACAGGACCGTCATATAGCATGACGTGCTATACTATTTATCTACATAGAAAGCACATGATGAGCAAGGTCGAATCACTGCTTTTAAAATAAAATATATATATATATATATATATATATATATATATATATATATATATATATATATATATATATATATATATATATATATATAGTCGTTAAGGCCTCTTAGCATTTTTGAGAAGGAAAGAACAGGAAGAAGAAGATCTTATTCTTATTGCTTTTTTTTTTATCGTGTCGTCAAAAAGGTGCAGCAGGATGAAGGTTCACTAAATGCCTTGGACGCAATGTAGGGGGCGGGGAGAGTTTGAAAAGGTCAAGCAGTATATGTATGCCGCGTGTGTCATTACAGAGATGTTTAGTGAAACTGATTCCATCTGTTAAGCATTTATTTTGTTTCTATCAAATAAGTTGAGCGATGAGATCCGAAGCCGATAACTGCATTTTTGATTTTTTTTTAAAGGGAAATAAAAAAGAAATCCAAACAAATTAATAATAATAAAAAAAAATCAGGTTGATAAAGAAATGGGATGCCCTTAAGTTCATGGGATAAAACAGAATTTTACAGTGTCTGTCTGTTGGCCTGTCTGTTAGGCCAGCGTATACATACATTTACACAAGTCAAACGTAACCATAAACATGGGACATTTAGCAATGACGAAAATGTTAGTGTTTAATATGCTCAAAGTTATCTCCCTTGCTACGCCATTGTTTTTTTTTTTTTTGTTTGGATCCGTTTTTATTTTTTTTAAACACTGGCCATTTAGTGTTGACGAGCAAGTTGTAATATTTTCAAGGTTATCTCCCTTGCAACTCTGTTACTCTTTTATTTTGCCCTTTTTTTCTCGTTTTTATGATCACCAGTTTGAGCATAGGTGCTATCGGCTTTGATAATTCGTCTATTGAAATATTTTATTTTATCCACTGTTTCTGGTCACTTAAAAATGCCATTCTCTTCACTTTTCAAAGGCTTGCTTCTTTTCTTTTATGTTCTGTCTTTTTCTTTTTTCTTTTTTTTTTTTTTTTTGACAAACTCTGGCAAATTATTCCACCGAAGAAATAATCAGCAGAGGACTGGTTCATTAGGATTTTAATCTCTATTTTTAGACCCAGAATTATTCTCGTCGCTCAGCAGCCGTTCTCCCGAAGAAGACCTTGCAGCCCTGTCTTCTTGACTGTTACGTTCTCTTTCATCGGAATCGTAATGAGATCGCCGATGCCGTCTACGTTCGTCCTCAGAACTATAATCATACATTCGTTTGCCGCTGTTGTTGTTACCATCACTATCCAAGGCGAACCTCTCGTCCTCGGGCGTATACCTTGGGCTTTGCCCATCGCTGTGTCGCAGAGGCATTTCCCTTCGTTCATCGAAGCGTCTGTCGATTTTATCATCTTCAGAACCACTGTCCATATAGTGCGGGTCACGCCTCCGTCGGAAACCAGTGCTACCGTCCGATGCGTCCTCATCACTGCGTGCGAAGTCTCGCCGATTCTCGCGCATGTTACTCACATCGCTGTCGTTATCCCGTAAACGCTGACGCTCGTGACTGGTATATCGATCGTCTTCGCTACCGTAATCATTTCGATAGTAATCATCCTCGTCTTGACTTCCCCTTCGATTATTATCTCTTTGATATCTGCGTTGACGTTGTCTCTCGTCTTCCGAGTCTTCCTGATCCTCACCGCCGCTTCGATATCTTGGACCTCGATCGGAACCGGAACCTGAACAGGACTCGGCGCCCGAACGCCGCTGCCTGCGCCTTCTCACATCTTCCTCTTCGTCTTCGTCAGGTGATATATACTCCAAATCACCCATTACGTCCTCGTCGTCTAAAATCCTCGCTTTGCCTTTGATATTTTCGTCTTCTTCGTCTTCCTCGTCATCTTCGTCTTCCTGGCGGGCGCCATCTTCCAGATTTTCCTCCTCCTCCTCTTCCTCTTCGCTGTCTGAAGTCGGCGACGACACGGCCGCCACGTCTTCCAACATCACTTTGATGGTTGAGAAGTCAGTTGGCTCAACAAGGTCCAGCGGGCGTTCTCCATTGTCTGTCATGATGTGTCGGTCGGCACCTTTAGTCAAAAGGAACCTGCAAAGACAAAGAACAGTAACGAATAAATAAAAATGAACAAACAAAATTTATATTAAAAACATAGTGTAGGGAGTGGGGGAGAGAAACAAAGATAATAAAAATATAAAGAAATACTTCTCACCAAATCAGAAAACAACTACAATTAACCATTTTACTGTGGTCAATATTTCTTTTTATATCTTTGCTCCTCCTTTCCTTTTTGTTTTAATATATTTGTATATATTATTTAATATCTAATATTTTAAAATGTCCGTTTTTAAAAGCCATACTTATTAGTATTTGTCTTCTGTTCTGATTTTTTACCGCGTTTTATCGCAATTTTATTCATGACGTCAACCTGGAGCAGTGCTAAGACATTGTGGATGAATAAAGAATAACTTCTCGATAAGACTCCACCTCACATAATCTTTTTCTAAGGGTAGCCTTATTAACCGTGCCAGCTGCTCTCACCCTCTGAACTACAGGGAACTTTACGGTTGGCGGAAGATCAACTCTAAACATTTATATTTATCCTTCACACTTTTTACATCTCTATCGGTGTCATATTTGTTATTGTCTTTACGATTAGAATCGGCAGTAGTATCTTTATTTTCGAGATAAAAAGTAAGTAAAATTAAGATAAAAGGAGATTGTTGGTTTCAATCCTATCTGGCAATGATTGCAAAATACTTTCCACTCCCCATTTTATAGGTTGAAGCATACAAATGCATGCTGGGATTTTTCCTAGACAATAAAATAGTCCTGTTCGGTTTCACCTGACTCAGTCTTGATCTGTCGGTTCAAGCGGTTCGGGCTGATTTGTCGAACTCCCTGCCTTCGGGCAGAGAGGAACCCAGACGAGGCTATGCCGAAGAGCAGTGTCGCGTTTGTGGAGGTAGACAGTCCGACGCCGTGTATGCAGGAGTCTACGGGAAATTTTTACCCAGGCCTACGGGCTCGGAATCGTCCCACTTAAAAAAAAAAAACTGCCTTGTGAGGCGGCTAAGGTAAATAACCTCAGTCCTGATCTGTCTTGTCCTGAAGTCAGAACGCTACATTCGCTTGTCTGAACTTGCTTTTGTGTGTCAACGCCAATTCTTAGTTTGTGAACTTTTTGCCTTATTAGTGTTGCTTTGCCTTTTTAATTTTGCTTTGCCTTATTACTGTTGATTTGCCTTGCATATATTGCTTTGTATTATTTTTGACCTTGTTCTTGTTATTACAAACTTTGTCAATTCGGCTTGTTTTACACAGTTTTGTTAGTTATTTTGTATTTGAACATGAATTACTCATTAGTTAAAATGGACTACTCACTAGTTAAAATTAACAATGACTGACAATGCTTAAACTAAAAATTAAAAAATAATGATAATATTGTAGCTTTGTTAAGTTTTATCCAGGGCTATAAGAGTGAGGATAGGACTCACTAGAAAGAGTCTGCAAGACGTGTATGCTATTGCAGACATCCAACAACATACCAAAATTCGTATTTAATGACGTTGACTTTGATGCAAGGTTTTAATTCTAAAATATCTGACAAAGATCAAACTGTCCCTGTATAGTTAATCACGATAATTATTGCTGATTTTCATGAATTGGATGAGCCGATGACAGCCAGAGATTTTCAATTTTGTTTTTATGGGTGAACGTTTTGAAAAAAATTCACCAAAGATAGATATTACTTGCCCAAATTTTCTTTTACATTAAAAATTACGGTGGTGAGACGTGCTTAAAAGTTCTCAGCCCAACCAAGATCCTAACCCCCTCCCGCCCAAAAGAATCCGATGTTTGTCAGATTTGGTGAAGTGGGTCGGGCTAAGAAATTCTTAGTATCTCGTTAAAAAAAAAAAAAAGTTAATTTCTGTTGTTCATTTATGCCTACTAATGACGTCACTACTGACGTCATCTTCCACAGATTTTTACGTTCAACTACTTTGTGTCCGTCTCTGCGAAAGTATTTCAGTTAGATAATGATTATTATTTTTTATTTTTTTATTTTTTTTTTTCGAAAATGCCGACTAAAAAAAAAAAAAATGAAATACAGTCGTAGTATTAGTGGTGCATTTTTTTTTCTAGGTGGGTTTGATAACACAAAACACACGCCGCCATCTTCCACTTCGTCAATCATTGAGAATGTTCGTTCGGCGGTGAAACGAATTCCAGCATATTATGACCACATTTGGTGTTAATTGAGCAAACAGCAAGTCACAGAAATATGGCGACAAGCTCTTTGGTACGCTTGTCTATCTTCGGGATCTTCTGTTTCTCAAGAGTTACAGAATTAGGTTTTTTAAAGGGCGTAAATGGAAGAAGTAAGAAATGTATGTTATGAGGATATGTAGGATATATAATATTTGAAGTTCGAAGTTAAGCCTGGCCAGTACCTAGATGGGTGACCGCGTAGAAATACCATTTGCTGTAAGCTTGGATGTGCGGATGGTGTATTCACTTACGCGCAAATACCGTTGGGGAAAGTGTGAATTAACCTCTTCTCCCCCAGCTATGGGCTAATTAGTAAAACTTGTATTAATAAACTATTATCTCAAAAAATTCTTACAATCTAAAAATATTTTCTGGCTTTAAATAACCTCCAAATGTTTGATAAGACATAGAATACGAATTAATCAAATCAAAGTTAAATAACAGTTGACACGACTTTAACATAAGAGGTTAACATCATGATGTTTGGGAAAGCAACCTTTAGGGAGTCTGTTCCACACAGTACCAGTTTTGGGGAGGAAATTGTTTGAGTAGAACTTCCTCCTTGCTAATGGAATAGGAAGAGGAGGAGGTTGAGTTGACCCTGTTTACATGGCATGGTGGATCTTAGCTGTGAAGGTCTGGATTAGTGAAGCTAATGAATGTAGCTCGCGCGAACAGCCGCTATGAACATAGCGATAGAGTAGCGAGAGGCGAGCAACGTTTCGTATGTGGGGAAAGAGGTTGTAGGGTGGAAAACAATTCATTCGTCATAGGTCGGGTAATTTGAAAAGTGCTCACGAACCGAATGTAGTACGGATTTTTTTAGGTGATGAAATATGATTTAACCCCTTACTGCAAATAACTGGTTTTATTTAAAATAAACCCCCCAATCGTTCTCTGTATCACACTCTCATTTTCTCTCTACGTTCCTCTCTCTCTCTCTCTTTCTGCTTTTCTCTCATACTCTTACCACAGTCTGGGTTTAATAGAATTTTTTTTATGAGAAACACATCGTCTATTTTTATTATATCACACAATGATTATAATTATTAAAGAAAGATTTTAATTTCAAAAAGTCACTTGCAGTTCAGGGGCGAATTTCACCTCACCAGGTCGTTAGGTCACGAAACATGACTTAACCCCTCACTGCAAACAACTGCTTTTATTTAAGATGACCATCACCCCGTCTAATCCTTCTCTGTGTCACATTGTTTTTGTCTCTACGTCCCTCCTCCCTCTCTCTTATATATATATATATATATATATATATATATATATATATATATATATATATATCCATCTCATTATCTGTTTCCCCTCTCGGACGCTCAACACAGTCTGGGTTCAATAGGATTTTTGGTTAGAAGAACATCATCCATTTTTATTATATCACACAATGATTATTATTATTAAAGACAGATTTTAATTTCAAAAGATCAGTTGCAGTTCAGGGGCAAATTTGTCCTCAACGGATCGTTAGGTTACGAAACATGATTTACAGTGAGGTAAAATAAGTGATCGTACATATGAAAATATTTCATATTTTTATTTGTAACATATTAAATTAACAAAACGGGAATATATCTACTCTATCAGATTGCATACTAAAAATGTATGCATATAAAACTAAATAATATTCCATGGTTAAGAAAATATAGCAATATTTAAATTTTTAGGGGTTTAAAAAATGATCGTACAGCAGAACAAAAACATGTTTTCTCCATTTAATATTTTGTAGCGAAGCCTTTATTAAGTTCAACAGCAATCAATCTCTTCCTGTAATCTTTAATTAACGATTCGCATACTTTAGTAGGTATTTTGTCCCATTCTTCTTGAGTAATTGTCTTCAGGTTTTTGATGTTTGTTGAACCTCTATCACGGATCTTATTTTTCAAAAACCTTCATAAATTCTCTATTAGATTCAAATCCGGCGACTGACTGGGCCATTGTAAGATGTTACCGTTGTTATTAGCAAGCCAATTCTTCGTACTCTTAGCAGTATGCTTGGGATCATTGTCCTGCTGGAAGATCCAATCAGGAGGAAGCCCAAGATTCTCTACAGAAAGCGATAAATTTTTGCTTAGGATTTGTTGATATTTTTCTGCATTCATTCTACCGTCTATAATTGCTAGTTTGCCAACACATCGCATCGAAAAGCAGCCCCAAACCATGATACTACCCCCACCAAATTTGACAGCTGGTATGGTGTTCTTGGGTGCGTATGCTTCGCCGTCTTTCCTCCATACATGATCCAGGGAATTGCGACCGAACAACACAATTTTACTCTCATCTGTCCAAATAACTCTTTCCCAATAAGAATTTTCCTTATCTTTATGCTCTGTCGCAAATTTCAACCTGGCATCTCTATGCCGTTTCAGAAGGAGTGGTGTCTTTCTTGGGGAGCTCGACTTTATACCGTCTCTGCGTAGTTCATTACTAATCGATTGCTTAGTTATGTTAACTTCTGACAAACTCAGATCATTCTGAAGGTCTTGGCTGATGGCCATTGGGTTATTTTGTACCTGTCGCATCAACTTTCTTCGTAATCTGGGAGAGATCTTCCTGGGAGCACCGGGTCTGCCTTTGTTCTCAACAGTATTACGTCTTTTAAATCTTACAATTGTTGAAAAAGTATGTTCGTGTCACTGGAGATGTTTCTATAACCTTTTCCATTGATCTTAATAATTAATTGAGCTTAATAATTAGCTCTTTTTGAACACAAGTCATTTCCTTACGTCTAGCCATTATTAGAACCGTTATCAGTGAACAGTGACTGCAGAATGATCCAATTTTGAACTGAATGTTGCAATAGAGTTACTGAGAATATTCTAGAACAGTTTAGAATTAAAACCAATATTCTAGAACAGTTTAGAAGTAAAACCAAAATCTACCGTATTATAATGCAAAAATTGATACTGTACGAATACTTTTTTCCACTACTCGAACTATAAAAATTTGCATAACTATCACTTATCGAGTAATTTCTAATTTTAAATTCCATATTCTGATTCTATGCCCCAACATACATATATAACATTGTTATTCGAGGTTTTCATTCGCTATAAGTGAGAATAACAAGCATTTGTCTGCTGTACGATCATTTATTCATACCCACTGTATCTTTTTACTTCACGGAACTGCCTTTTTCTAACTATTATATATGAATATCTGTTCTTTTTTATATTAAGGTTCACTAGATGCCTAGTTCAAGAGCCATTCATGGTAGAGGGGTACTATTAAAATGCTTATGGTGTGTGTGGTATGAATGAAAGATGTGGCGGCAGATTAAACAGAAAAAAGCATGTATCGATCGAATATTTATAAGTACGAGCAAGCCCCGTGTAAATTGCACGGGTTTGATAAACATTTGATAATAATGCCGCGCTCTGTACTCTTCAACCCACGACCATCATAAGAAAAGTGATATAGTCTCTCTGAAAAATGTTGAAATGTCCTCAACAGATCGTTAGGGCACGAGACATGATTTAACCCCTCACTACAAACAACTGCCTTTAAGATGATCTTCACGTCTCTGTATTGCATTCTCTTTTTGTCCCTTTACGTCCTTTTCTCTCTCTCTCTCTCTTTCTGTTTTACTCTCTAAGTCCCCCTCTCCCTCTTTCTTTTTCCCCCTCTCGGACGCTCGACACATCTGGGTTTAATAGGATTTTTAGTTAGAAGAGCATCATTTTTATTATATTACAAAATGATTATAATTATTAAGAAATATTTTTATTTCAAAAGGTCACTTGCAGTTCAGGGGTAAATTTGACCTCAACAGATCGTTAGGGCACGAAACATGATTTAACCCCTCACTACAAACAACTGCTTTTATCTAAGATGACCCTCCACGTCTAATCCTTCTCTGTGTCGCACTCTCTTTTTGTCTCTTTACGTTCCTCCCTCTCTTTCTGTTTTACTTTCTGTAGCCCTCTCTCTCTCTTTCTGTTTTAACGCTGCGTTCTGTACTTTTCAACCTGTGACCATTCCCAGTTATAAGAAAAGTGACATCGTCTCTCTTAAAAATACTAAAATGTCCTCAACAGATTATTTTATTATTGTTATTAATAAAGTAGAAACTTATTAAAATTTATCAAAACATTTAAAAAAATTAGAGAATATACGCGTTGCTGTTTATACAGAAAGATTATTATAGATGCAAGAATAGTTCTAATTGAAGTCTTACTTTTCTCTATCCGTGGGACGGGTATTCGACTAGTATATTAAAAAGAAATAAAGATCCTCTCTTGTATCATTCTCTTGCTCTGTCTCTACATAAAGAATTTTAAAGTATAGTAATTTTTGCGCATTTTCATGCCTCAATCGTTGTTTCTTGAATTCTGGCCAATTAGACTGTCTCTCTTTCTCCTTCATCTCGCCCCTCTCTTTATATCTTTATACTTTCCTTCCACCTGGTTTTCTTGTCAGTTTTTCTCTATTTTATCACCCCCCCACCACCTTTCATTCTTCAAAAGCCTCCCGCTTTCCTCCCCTCCCTCGCTTAGGCAGTCTTCCCAGTCAGATATTACACACTGATCCGAAGTAAAAGAAAATATAAGCGTAACGGCCATAGATACAAACACAGGCACATAAAATTATAACACTAAAAGCTTAAAATATATACTCAACGCCATCTTTTATGTGCCGTGTCCCTTCAAGACGTTGGCGATTACGGTTCTCCACAATTTCCTGACATTTGTAGCTCTTAATAAATTTTGCCTTTTTGTTATCTCTCTTAGAAACCTTGTTCCGCTATCCATTTACTGATGCTCGCTAGGTAAGTTATGCTTTGGTTTTCTTTGTCTCTCTTGTCTCTAATCTCTCTTGTGAGCATCAGATTTTCCAAGCCCTCTTTCCTCATTATATGCCATAGGAATTTCAACTATCTCTTCCTTTTTGTTTGCATTTCTCTAAAGCTTCGTCGTTGCTCGCATATTCGGTTCATGGTATCCTCAGCATTCTTCTGTAGAACTAAATTTCCGTTGCTTCAAGTTTCTTCTTCATCTGCGAGGAGATTGTCCAACATTCACTGTCATATAGGAGGACTGATATTACGTAACAGCTCGATACACTTTTCTTTGTTTCTAACGAAACTTTTTCTGTTTCTTAATACTTTGCTTAGCTTTTGGAAGGTATTTTTTTTATCCCAATACGCCTTCAGATTTTATTGTCGAACTTTTGTTAAAACTCTTCACAGATATTTAAATCTTTTTACGTGTTTGATTTTGGTATCTCCAATTTGTAATTTGCATGTTGGGCTGTTCCTACTTGCTGGCAACCATTTATTCTGTCTTCCTGAAATTGTTTAGTTCTTTCTTCTCGCTTTTCTAAACTACCTTCTGTAGGGGTTATTGTAGTTTTCTGTGTCTGCTATCAACACAGTATCATCTGCACATCTTAAGTTGTTAAGATTATCGCCGCCAATAAGAATTGAAGATACTCTGGTGTATTAAAGATTTTGGTAATACTGTTAGACCGATTTTCACAGAGGTGTATGAATGGATCAATCCGTAATTTTTTCTCTCGAAATATTGGCAAATGCCCTTCCATTTTCCACAGATTATTTCTTTAATCTAAAGAAAAGATGCTCTCAACAGGGAAATAAAAACGACTTTCGAACAGTATCAACGACACAGTTTAAGTAAATTGTGCAGTTCAAATAAAACGCGCTTAAGCAAAACGTAAGTATGAATGGCTGAAACCTCGATATACGAAGGGTTGTTGAAAAGTTCCCTACCCGACCGACCCACTTTTCAAAATTTGATCAAATGACGAAACAGTTTTTTAATCATTTCACCTCAAGCAAGGCGATAATGCCACTAAGACGCAAGGGGCTACTGGGAGCGAAAGAGAATGAGAAGACTTTAGAAGGAACCGGAAACCAAATCCTAAACAGGGAACAAGGGATAAATCTCTACTTCTGTTCAAAAGACCGTGGAGGAGTTTGAACTGAACAATAGGCGAACATATTTAATCCTTAGAACTTAAAAAAAATCCTATTTTGGTCAGGCCGAGTACTTTTGAACACAATCTCGTAAAAAACAAATGTAAAATTCAAAGATATTATTAAACTGACACACCTATTTTATTACAGTAAGTGGGTCTCCACTATTTCTTTTTCTTTTTGTTAAATCTAAATTAATTTATTAATTCTGTAATAAGACATTTAACCACAGGATCTTTTTTAATACTAAATTCCACTAAATACAAGGCCCGACAGCCACTCAAAGACGAGGATTATTTTTAAAATGGCGATTAATGAGGTGTGTGATATGAATAAGAGAGAAGGTAAAAGAAAGTGAAGATGATGATAAGGGAGATAGATAAAATTTGTCTCTTGGGTTGAAGCCGTTAATATTGTCGTTTGAGGGAAACATCCATGCAGAGGTTTGTTCCCCAAAGTAGATTTTCTCGGGGTGAACTGGGGGAAGCTGTCAGTGGAATTGTCTCCTTACATTTGAAATACAGAAGAAATGAGGGTGATTCTACGCCCTGGAAGTAATATGGCTTGCCCTTGGCTGCAAAGGTCTGCACTGGTGGAACTGAAGAATGGAGCAGAATGGAAAATAAGTCAGACCTCCTCCCCCCACCACACACAAAACTGCGTAAACAATTTCGAATTCTATCAAGTCTGGAAAGTGAAGATTGAACAGCTCCAGTCCAGATATTTTTTATTATTGATAGTTAAACCAATTCAAGGTCCAAGAGCCACTCAAGGTAGAGGATTACTGAGTAAGATTGTAAGAACCATGATCAACCTACTTAATGATCCTGTGTCAATGGATGGCAGAACAGTGGGAGAGATAGTAAAGGGACAAACATTACTTAGAGTTACAAAAGATAGGAAGTTGTGGAGAGCCATGATCAACTTACCTAAACCAATATCTATGCTACTCGACTTCATAACATTCTCTTACTTCCATAATCAAAACAGAAACATTTTCTTTTATGCACCATGTCTCTTTAAGACGTGAGCGATCATGGCTCTCCACAACTTCATATTTTTCGTAACTCTAAACAATGTATGTTTCTTTACTATCCCTCCATGTCTTTGTTCTGCTACCCATTTACCAAAGCTCGTTAAGTAGGATGAGTATGGCTCTCCACAACTTCCTATCTTTTGTAACTCTATGTTTGTCCCTTTACTATCCCTCCAAGTTCTGAAATCCATTGACAAAAGCTCATTAAGTAGGCTGATCATGGCTCTCCACAAGTTCCTATCCTTTGTAGATATAAAAAATAAGTATCTCCCTACTATCTTTCCCAGTCCTTGTTCTGCCATCCATTTACACAAGCTCGTTATGTAGGTTGATCATGGCTCTCCGCAACTTCCTATTTTATGGTAACTTAACAGAAACAACCGGTTCTTACACGCAATTCAAATACAATTTGCTTTTTTAATCTTGATGCATTTGCATCTTGATTCAACAACTTTTATTTGATGTTCGACATGGTCTACAGCTGAATGTACGTGAGAAAAGTGATTGAAGCCGAAATGCCCGGTCAGAACCAATAATATTGCAGATTCATCTTTCATTGATTGATTAAATGATTTGATTTTTATGGCTTATCAACCTTTTGCATGCTATTTAAAGCCAGAAAATATTTTCGATTGTAAGGATTTTTGGAGATAATAATACTTTTACTGATACAAGTTCTACTAATTAACCCATAGCTGGGGGAGAAGAAGTGCTCCGATTTCCAATTCCGTGCCGTTATCCGCTACACCGCTCGCACATCCAAACTTACTGCACTGGGTATTCGCAAACGGTTACTCATCTAGGTACTGACCAGGCTTGACGTTGCTTAACTTCGATGATCGTACGAGAACGTGATTTCAACGTGATATCGCTGTAAGCCGGATTCTTCTTTGGATTTTGTCAAGAATCTCCAGAGACATGGTAGAAGCACCAGACCAAATGCTGCAATAATATTCAGCGCACGGACGAATGGCGACTGCGTCACGCACAAAATGGACGTCATAGATTATTTGCTGAGGTTAACACTGTATGGCACAAAGCCATTAGTATGGCGCATACAGGATCGAATTCACTACAGTAGCCTGTGAAACTAGTTTGCTAATTACTGTTCCACCGAAACGGCAGCCATGCCTGTTTAAGTATCGGAAATGATAAACGTGAAGATCCTTTTAAATTCGCATATAACTCTTAGCCCGTGTACGTTCTTCTGTGATCGTATACTTCTGCAAGTATCTTTTTTCACGCGGAGAAAAGTTATACCCACGCAAAACGGACAAAAATAAAACGATCTCTCAAAGGCGCTGGTCGGTAGATTACGTTACTCTTCAAGATAGGGAACATACATAGCTTGCAAATAATTCCCACAACTCCGTTTCTCGCTCGTATTACAAGACAAAGATGTTGAAGTAGAAGCAAAGGATTATGTTGTAGGAGAAAGAAGATTTATCGTTCTGTCGAAACACGTTGCCATTGGAGTTTTTACATCGTGTTCTAAAAGTTACGAAAAGATTTTGAAAGTTAATATCATTTTATATCACAATTTCGGATGATCTATTTTTAAACCTTTAAATTTGATGTGAATTAAGAAAGAAATAGAAGTGTGGATTGGGCAGTATATATAGGATTTTGTTATTTAGCAATCTCTACCTGGATACAAAACCGGTTTCTATTCCACGAGAAATGATCTATAATACTTGATTTGTAACTGTCTTCTCTGTGGTAGGTATCCTTAAATATTTACTAAGCCGAACTTCATCTTGGAAAGGGTTACAACGGTGAGACCCATTAAAGATCGATCATTGTGGGAAATCATCTTACTAATCAGATAGCTATGACGGAGAAACATTAATATATACTGAGAGGAACACAGGAGACACAGATTGGTGAATTGGCGTACAGCCCGTGTGTCAGAATTGGATGACAAAAGAATTTTGACCTTCTTTCGAGCAAATATTGAGATGTTTAGTTTATCCGGCTCGCAAATGATTTTTGATTCTCTTGATTGTATTTTACACGACGACCACAGGCTACAGGTTTTCGTTTTTTTAAATTTTAAAGTTAAAGCAAAACTGTTAAATATTTAAGACAATTTTAAAAACTCATTTTGACACGCTTAGGTCATCGAACAGTGTCATTAGAAAAAATAGATTTTATTACAGCTAAATCTCCATTGGCGAGACAGAATGTGATTCACGTTAGCTATATGAAGGATGGATTTTATTTTCTGTAAAAACAATTTGAGATACGAAAAATCTTAGAAGAAATGAATATATAAATAAATTAAGAAACGATACAGTTAAATTTTTTAAAACTCCAGCGTTCATAGGACAAACAGGATTTATGTTGTCTCTTCAATGGCCAAAAACTTCGGGTTCGTTCGGTTATTATGTAAATTTTCTACTTAAAACTAACAGACTTTGTGGCCAATCCAATCCAACTCAATAGATTTGACTATTTGAAAAAAAAAAAAAAAATTCTGATGACGCTAATAAGCGAAAGTTTTTCAAATTGTTTTAAAAAAATTATCATGGCGTCAGATTGTCATCCAAATTGAAATCCGTCCTGGGTATGACGATAAACTACGTCCAACAGCAAGGCCTCTGATCAGGAGGTTTTGAGGAGCATGGAACCACCTCTTAATTACTGGTGTTCCCAGGTCCACTCTGACCTGGGGTGGTAACACCTGCACTATAAAAGTGTAAAAATAGGTTTTTACCAACGATACATATGTGAAGGAAAAATATTATCAGAAATAGATCTTTTGTACAAAACATATTACCAGAAATAGATGTTTTGTAGAAAAAAATATTACCAGAAATAGATTTTTTGAAGGAAAAATTTGAAGGAAAACTATTACCAGAAATAGATTTTTTGAAGGAAAAATTTTACCAGAAATAAATTTAAAAAAAAAAAAAAATATTACCAACAATGAAAAAAATTTTCGGCATTAAATAATCCATTGAAGTTGATATGCAGTAAAACAAAACCAAATTGAAATCAAACCAAACTCTGGGTTATACGTTAATTTTATTGTTTAAAAAAAAATGCAAAATATATTTTTTTTAATTTTTGTCTCCAAGAAAGTATTTTGTATTTCAGACATGAGTAGCCTTAATAATTCAAAAATCAATGTCAATTAAATTAATTTTATCTTTTTATTGAACCATAAATTTTAATAGAATATCAATTTTTAATGCTTTTTCTCTTTAGTCAAGAAAATAGATGATTTGAAACTGAATCAAAGAATTGGCAGCAGATTTCAAACTTACACTGAGAGAATTTTTCTGAGTATGCGAGTGGTGCTTATATATAATTTAGGGATGGGTTTTCAGGGGTTTTCTTAATGTATGTATGAGTATTCGTTTTAATCCTTCCCAGTCCTCCTACTATTACTAGAATAGTGGTTATGTTTAAATACCACATTCTTGCAATTTATTATTATTATTATTTTATTTCCTTTGATTTCTGATGTATACGCATTTCTTTCCGGATCCCGCCCAGTGACCTAAGGTCAGAAATGGCTTAATGACATTTTCCACTGAGCATTTTTGAAAAGAAAAAAAGATCACAGATATTTTACACAGATAAAACCCTTAGTAAGGTATGGTTTGTACTCTGGAGAACGATTTTTTGTATTTCTTTAAGGTATGGGCTACCAGGGAGTCTATCAATGAGTCTATTGGAATCTTTTCCAATTAATTATTTTCTTTGATTTCTGGCGTTTACACATTTCTTTCCGGGTCCCGCCCAGGGACCTAAGGTTACAGATGGCATCATGGCATCATGACACTTTCCACAGACAAAAAAAAAAATTACATAGATAAAGCCCTTCGTAAAGTGTTGGCTGTACTTATCAGAACAATTTTTTGTATCTCCTTGAGGCATGGACTTCCAGGAATCCCTTCAATTAGTCTACTAGAATCTTTTCCAACCAATCCTAGGGCTCCAACTACAACAGGGATTGTTGATGTTCCCATATGCCACATTTTCGAGATTTCTATTTCAAGGTCCTTATATTTTGACAGCTTTTTGAATATCTTCAAAGATACATTGCAGTCAGCAGGGGACTCATCATCATCATCATTCGATATGGACACACTACCTACCAAGTCTGCGGAAAGACTTATTATTATTATTATTATTATTATTATTATTATTATTATTATTATTTCGTTTAATTATTCATTTCCTTCAGGCTCACAACTAGAGGTCAGAAATTGGCTTCACGACATTTTCCACTACACATATTTAAAAAAAAAATCCCACACCGCTCTAAGATCATGTACACATTTTACATAAATAAAGCCCTTCGCAAGGCTTGAGGTGTACATGTTTGTACATTCTTTGTATTTCTTTAAGGCATGAGTGACCAGGAATCCTTTCAATGAGTCTATCGGACCCTTTTCCAATAAAACCGAAAACTTCAACCACATTTGGAACTATTGATGTCCTCGAGTGCCACATTTTTGAGATTTCCCCCTTCATTTTCCTTGTATTTTGATACTTTTTTTAAAAGATCTTCAAAGATACATTACAGTTTGAAGTGACTGTCATGTCAAATAACAAAGCACATTCTCTTCTTTTTTTTTTTAAATATTTTAAATTATTTCTGTATCGGTGTCTTGGTAACTCTCTCAATAAACATTCATGAGTCAATTCTCCATCGCTGTCGCCTGTATGTCAAATAGCGGCTGTTACGAAAGGGTAACTATGAACTAAAAAAAGTTGAGAGGCTTCTGTTTCCTCACATATGCACGTGTGTCTCCCGCACACCTGACACCATGAGGAGTAGGCACCTTTGTAAAGATTGTAATGTATATTACATACTTATCTCGGCGAAATATTAAAAATAAACCTTCTCGTTTGGTATCATCGTCCAAATAGTTTCTGAGAATGATGTGGCTAGACATTGAAATATTGACAAAAAAAAACGCTTTCTTGTTAATTAAATCACTGTATACCGATAAAGACCACTTTTGGTTATTTTCATCTTCTTTTAAACACACACACACACAAATTGAAATTCTGCCAATGTAACCTTCGAAGAAAATGAGGGCAGCTTCTCGAAGTAACCAGATCTGTTAATTCCTGAAGACATTCTGAACTTGTAAAAATATTTAGGCAGGAATCGGCGAAGAAAACGGAACAGCCAACTGCCATGTCTGCCCACCACGAATTCAACGCGCGGCTAAGTGAATGCTTAATGGCATGAGAAAACAAATACATAACCAAATAAACACCGTTCCCAGATAGCAAATAAGTTGTAAACATTGTGGGTTTTCAGCCCATTGTTTGCCTATCACGCAAACCGAACGTCTTTTTTATATCGTTCATTATAAGTTTGAAAAAGCCTTCACCCACGCATACACGTTATACCAAAAATCATATCGACATTAACAATGCGTCCAGCATTTTGCATCTTTTCTAGAGATATCGATTAAGTTTAACTTACCTCGTTCTATGAATTAATCATAACAAATCTAGTATTAGAGATAAGTAAATTGAACATAAAATTAGGCATAGAATAAACTACGCTACAGATTATTGCAGTGAGTCCCGATATAAATAAAATATAAAAATATAGAAACAAATATAAAAAGAATTTAAATTAAAATAAGGCATATACGCTTTCCTTTAAAACCCTCCTCTCTCTCTCTTTCTCTCTCTCCATCTATCTATCTATCTATCTATCTATCTATCTATCTATCTATCTATCTATTTCTAAACTTCTTTCTATATACTTCTCTCTAAACTAACGAGAAGGCAAGCCTCTAATTAAAATTGCGGAAGAAGAAAGCCGGAAGAAGATCGCCGGAAGTTTGCGGGTTCAGAGCCTACTTATTTGTGACTAAAAACAACCAAAAACCAGGGAGGCT